CCTCTGCTTGAAGTCCATCCTTTACCCACTGACCATGACAGCACCAGTGTGCATGTGATCTCCTGTGCTGCTGTATTTCCCCTCTTCTGCAGAAATCCATGGACGTCATTGCAACTCTGGGTATGAGCTAGGGCTCAAGGTGGGATGTCAGGCTGGGCAGCAAGAGTGGGAGGAAGGGGGAGCAGAGGGCAGGAGACTTGTACTGGCCATGCAACTGAACCTCAGTGTATTCCAACTTCCAGCATCTCCCTTATTTCACTTTCCACACCTTTTTTTTTGCCAAGTTTAATGTGACAACTATACCTGGCTATAATAGTTCATCTCATTGAAGAGTTCTTACTTTGTTGGAAAGCAACTTCACAAAATATATTTTTGTCAGCTCCGGTAATCAAGGAAAGATTCAAACCCACTATTTTTCTCCAAATTCTTTCATAACTTGTTCAAGAAAAGGGAATACAGGGTGTCTGGGATGATAGCTGTTCTTGCAAGCATGGTTTTGGGGATTATCTTTGAAAACTTTTCTGCTGCCGTGTAATTTACACTGCTACTGCTGGTAATGACTGTAAGAAATAGGAGCAGCACTAATGAGTATGGATCAGTGTTCTCCCAGACTGTCAAAAAAAAAAAAAAAAAGGAGCACAGGGAGTGATGACCCTGTATGACAGATCAATGAGGCTGCAGATTGGTTCTTGGGCTATCCAGGTTATTTTCCTTAGAAGGCGTCATGCCTCACACATTCTGCTGAAGGCTATCCTTATCCATTCAAGTTCATGACAGCTATTCTTAGACATTAGTTCATTTTTAATACCATCGCCAAGACTGGAACTGTAATTTTTAATGAGAATGAGGAGCCGATGTCTCTTTTATCAGGTTCAGATCTATTTAGCTTAAATTAAAATTCTTTGCTATATTTTTCCTATAGTTATTCAAAGGATTAGTGAGAAAATGTCATTGAACAGCTACTTGTCTCCTCATTAACATTCATGACAAAACCTTCCGGCCGGGGCTGGTTTTGGCTGCTGATGGAGCAATACTTAAAAGAAATTGGCTTGTGTGTGAAACAGCTGCTCAGCAATGTCAGTATGCAAGGGAATTGGTGATAATAAGATGATACTATTACAGCTACACTGGGAGCATAATATATTTTAAGCTGCTTTGAGGTATACAGTGGAGGTCCAAGAATTGGAGCGTGATTACTTGTCTAGTGCTAGGAACAGGAAACAGCTGATTGTTACATATCTGCTTATACAGGTTAGATGTACACAAAGCCTTGAGGTTAAAGAATAATCTGTATCTGCTGGAATTCTTCATTTCCTGTGGGTTTCCTGTCTTCCGGAAAAGTTTTTTGTTCCTTTTCCTAGTGTTTGGAAAGGTTTGTGTCTCCCTATGCTGAAACAGGTATTGCATTCTTTGCTAGGAACACTGAGCACTTACTGTTTCAAAGGAACTTTTCTCAGTTCAAGGCTTTATTTATTTGGCAAGATTCTTAGGAGAAGATTCTCTGGATCCTCATGCACCCATTAAGTGAAATTCCAGATACTGATTTGGTTTGAAAAGACCATCCAGTATGTCAGTGCAATGACAAATATGCAGATGTGGGCAATACAGTTGTAAACATCTGCACATAAGGCTCAGCCGAGAAACAACTGGCAGCTGGCATTATGTTGTATGCTAATGCATACCTCTTGTCTAGAACATGGAAACTGAGTGAAAAATAACATTGTCAGACCTTTGGCTCCAAGAAATCTTTGAACCTTACATACTATGAGGAATAAAACAGGAAAAAATGAATGTGGAATAATAAAAGTCTCAACACACTGACAGCCCCTTAGAAATGTGGAAGACAAATGAATAAGAAATGAAAAGGCTTTAAAAAGCAAGAACTGATTGCCAATTAAAAGAAAGGCTTAATTTCTTCTGATCATAGTTAGTTCCAAAAAGCTTAGGAATTTTTAAAGTTCTCTGTTACAAATTTCATATTTAGCTTCTATTGCTTTTAGTTAATATAGAAATTTAGTTCTTGTAAAGACTTGGAAGTACTGTAATTGAGGTAAAATTAAATATTTTATGCAACTGACATAGAAATTATGTAAGACCACTGACAGCAGACTGAGGGAGGTGAATCTTCCTCTCAGCTCAGTATGATAAGGCCATACGTGGAAAGACGGGTCCAGGTCTGCACTCCCCAGTACAAGAGAGATATGGACACACTGGCACAAGCCCAGCAAAGGGCAGTAAGGTGATGACAGGATTGGACCATCATAGAAGCAGAGAGAACTGGGACTGCTGACCAAAACACCTCCATCACATCTCAGCCATGCTCTGTGATTCTGCGTAACGACCTTTGTCTTACCAGAGGGCTAAAGAGACAATGCTCAAGTTAAAGCAGATTGAGTTTCCTTTTAGACTAGATCATGAATCTGGGACAAAATTTTGAAAAAGAAAACAGATCTCAAATTGTTTCTCAAAATGAAAATCATAACATCATTCCATCTATGCCTAAGTGAATGGTCATCATAAGTGAATGGTTGTGGGGAAGAGTAAAATAAGAAAGGTAAGGCTTATGAAGGTCAGATCAAAATTCAACAAGGAGTTCATATACTCCTAAAAAGTCTTATCTTGCAAAACTTAGCACTACCCTGTCCAGTACAGCAGAAAAAAAAATGCAAAATTCTACAAGATATCCCTTCGACGTCCCTTTCAGGAGTTTTAAAATTATATAAATGTCTGAATGAACAAAGAACTTGGCAGCAACTTCAGTTTAAATTAACTCCTTACAGGAGCAAAGCGAATATGTATCTCAACATTCCTTAAATGTTCATATATTCATTTACTGCTTACATACACTGCTTTTGATAAACAGAGGTACTTTACAAAAATCCATAAAATCATCACAGTTGGCTGTATTTGTTCTGTTATTTGTGGTATACTACCATTAAATGGTAGAATTATGGATTAGATTCCCTTGTGCAATCAAAGTACCAAATTAAAAAACAACAACAAAAAAGGATGATTCTTGAACAGTTAAAGCATTGACCTTATCTAACAATCTTAACATTGCTTCCTACTGAAAAAAAGCATCCTATTTTACACTGCAACAAATTTAGCCGGTTTTAACCGAACGTCAGCCTATTAGGTGAATATATTTTTACATTATTGTATTTACCCCTCTAGAAAGACTAAGCAATTTTTCCATATAACTGATCAAATTTTGAACAATTTTAGAACAGCATAAAAATACTGAAAGGATACACAAAGTTCAAATGCTCTCTGATAAGATATCACATTGCAAATTCCTTTTAAAACATCAGCCATAAGACAGAAGAAACCACTCAGTCTTTTATTCCAAGCCTCTGTGGGGCAGACCCGTAAGAATTCCAGAGTGGAGTACATATAAGCAATCAGTAAGTTTCAGCTATACTTTACTGTCAGTATTAAGATACAGAATTTCAGTTACTGAAAATGCCATAATGCCCTTAAGTTCATTGCAACAAGGCCTGAAGTTACCAAAGAAATAGTAAGGTGACATATGAGCTCTGTGGCCAATAAGCCCAACATTTTGAGTATACTGCATGGCTTACTGAACACCAGCAATCATCCTGGTTTCCTTCTGTTAAAAATAAGAGCCCTTTACACGACACAGATACTTTGAAATATCTGTTCTGTTTGCACACTCATCTTGTAAGACTGCACACGACTTCTGGATTTATTTAATTTTTTTAGATCTTTTGAAGATAAGTAAAATTTTGAAAAATCCACAAAAAAAAGTTAAAAAAGAAGTCATCATAATGCAGAACAGTGTACAGTCATTCACACCTTCCAAGGACACTCACTAAATTATATTAGCATCTGATCTGCTGCTGTGGACTTTTCTCCAACTCATCCCCATATTTCCATTCCCTTCTATTTTAATTCATTTTCCCTTCTGTGTCGTACTGAGAGAATCAATATTAGAAAAAAAAATCTTTAATTGGATATGATACAGAATTACCCTAAGGATTTAGAGACATCTTCACTTTTTTCTGAATGCAACCTTAGAGTTCCAAAGTAAGCTCACAGCTTCAGAGATAACCTTTCCACCATTCTCGTAAATGTGTGCATATGACCCATTACCTGGGGTTAGCAGGCTTTACTCCACCTATTTGCAGGCTTTCCTCTTACACAAAGCTCTGCAATCCTCTTTGCAATGCTGATTTATGCCTCTTAATGCCAGACCCTTTTCAACTTACACATATGCAGAAATGCTTAGGGTGACACTTTTAACACAAATGCAGATTTCATATTTAGATAAAACCATGACTTAAAAATATGGACACAACCATAAAAACTGCTTAATATTCATTATCAAGCATTTAGAAAATTGTGACACCATAACCTTGATCTTACAAAGGTCTTATAAAGGCTGATTGCAAACAAATAAAACCCCCAAACTGTTGTTGTCAGTTCTTTCCAGGTAGAAAAGATGTGTTTGATGCTGCTTAAGTGGTTTGTATGATAATTCCTCTCAAACGCAACTGAGGCCTTTGTGTTTGGAAGCCAGAAGCCCTCTTAGAGACTCTCTACTTCACAAGAAAATCATGCAGAAAAAAACACAGCCTTAAGGCTACAAAAAGGTAGACTACACAAATAGTTCTCTGCAACAACAAAAATCACGGGAGAGCCACAGTTCATTTTGAACAGTGAACATGATTACAAACCTAAATTTTGCATTTGAAACTAGGAGACAAAAATTATAAACGTCTCTAAGCGTATCTAATCTCTTTTTTCAACATTAGCCAAGCCTGCAGGCGCTTAATAGTCTGATTCTTGATGTCATTGTAATTAAAGGCAATACTCACAAGGCTGATAAGCATACCAGCTGTACATTAACCCTTATCTTAGCCAAACTGACAACTGCAAATGTGATATCTAATGGTAAAGAAAAGAACACTGGAATTTATTATGGATACCTGACTCTTAAATCCCATAAGAGTAAAATAAGTAAATTATATCCAGCCTACCGTCAAACTTCTTGTGCCGGGATACAAAAGTGGTGCGTACAAAGTGACTTGTCTCCTCCACTAAGTTTTCAAACTCCAGTTTGCTCTGTTGGCTTAACTTGTCCTCCATTTCTGAGGTGCAGCATGTATATTCCTGAGGGCAGATTCTCAAATGTTCCCCTGGAATCACAAGAAAAAAGGAATTGGAAATATTTGAATACAGACAGAAATGTGCCAGAACCAAATACAAATGATGGCTCTCCAGTTTGGGTGGGTTACCCAAATTGCTCTTTAAGGTTGGACTCCTTGACAGAGAACACTTTGAATCTGTGTCAACAACTTTTCTATAGTTGGGTATTCCACACTTTGCAGAGTTGTTTTGATACTTTAAGAGGTAGAACTGTCTCAGATCAAAAGCGTTTTCTCCTGCTGAAGAAGCCTTCCTCATTTACAGATATATACTTAAGACTTGAAAAACCGTTGCTTGCTGTCTGTTTGTATTCAAAACACCTGGAGAAATACCTAGTGAGATGACCTGTTACAAATCATTGCAACTGTCAAAACCTGAAAAACAGAAATTATGCATTTCTGTAGACAGGTCCCGCTTGCCCAAGTGCACCAAAACATTCTCCCCTCCTCACCTTCCTTCCCTTCTGCTTAAGCGTATTTTAAAGACTGTTTTTGGATGCCACATGTTTTCTTGGGCAGTATTTCTTGTCAGATTGAGCAAGTGCTCTGCTGAATAGGAGAAAGCAATGAAGAGTTTAATTAATGCTTATGTTATACAGAAATGTAATGTAAAAGGTAATGAAAGCCTCTTATTTAATTCAATAGATTTATCTCTTGAAGCACTGTGCCAGTTCTTCTGACAATATTGCTTTCTTCAGTACAATTTGCAAGTGGAAACCAATTCTTCAGCTCATGAAATTAAAATGGTCTGTTATTACATGAAATGTGAATTTCCAATTGACACTGTACTAAGGGTGTCAGAAACATTTAGCTCAGTTTGTACAAAGGCAGGAAATTCTACCATTCCCTCTTGAGAAATAAAAAGAATGATCTGCCTCTATGATTAAAGTAACTTGTAAGGCAATGAAAACATTTAGCTTTCTGTACACTGAATCCTGATTAAAAATCCCTCTGCAAATCTCTTAAAGGTGCAAATAAAATGATATACAAAGCCCGAGGGTTAAATAAATACTGAGGACCTGATTCTCATTTACATGGAGACTCCTTTCTACCACTGCTGAGCCATAAAGAAGACTTAAATGCAATTTATACCTACTTTAAGGCTGCTTTTCACCATTCTTATTATGTAGTGGGGAGAATCAGGCTCTAAGTTTAATGCTTCCCAGGGGTATAATACATTTAGCTGCCGCATCATTTTGAAGACAGCATCACAAAGAGGTTTGCACATGCTTAGAATAAACATTGTCTTGAGTTTGCCCTCACCTTATTCCAGTTTATGTTTCAGCTCTTGAATGAAGAGTTTTAATTTGAAATTTAGTCATTTCTCAACCCTGATGCACCCCATTTTAATTTGTGGGGATTTTGTCTGCAAGAGTTCATAATATACGAACTATAATGTCATGAGATTTCTTTTAGCAATCTCAAGATTTTTTAAAAGCTCACAGCTACACATCTTCAGAAAGGATCATTAATTATTATCAGTTACTGTTCAGCAGCACTACCTACAAGTCTTAGTTATGTCCAAAAGCACCATGATAAAAAACGCTGTATAAACCTGGGAAAAAAAGATACCCCATGACCATCAAAATATTGTAAGGATTGTTTCCCATGTCTACTACACCTTCCCAACACAATCAAATAATTCTTTTCCGTCCTCAAAATCATACATCTAAGCAATAAACAATACATACAGGGACTGGTGAGCCAGCTGCTGTCAAACATAAAAGATAGTGGCAAACTAATGTTTGCCTTACCCTCTACATCTCTGTCACATTAAACTGAAACTATTCAACAGGTAAGGGAGGTACCATAATAAGAAACAATAAAGGTTATTTTAGTAACAGTAATGTTGTGAGGTTTTTATTAGATGTCTGAAAGACAAGTAAAGCTGAAATACTGTGTCATTAGAAGAAGTGCTGTGCGCTTGAATAAAAAAAAACAAAACCAACATATCCATAATGTCTGTAACCCCCTTCCTTGATATATCCAGGGGGTTTTGTTTATTGTAAACACCTACTATCCCAGTTCCAGCCAGAGCTGTAGTTTATGTTTTCATTATGCTAATTATGATTGTGTCCTCTAGTGCCATTGCAACCAAGAATTTTTATAAAATTCAGTTTTCTTTCCTCTGCTCATCTCAAGTTCTTATTCTTTTTTCTCACTGTTTGTTTTTCGTGACTGCCAGACTGTAAACTGAACTAATGATAATCATCAAGGCAGTGTGCTTAGTAAGTAAGTCATGAGTCTTAATTTTTTAAGACACTATCTTGTGCTGAATACTATGACAAATTACAGCCTATTGAACAGTTATTTTTGCAGTAATATTAATTTTTCTTTCACTTATTTATTTAGAGTCTTACTTTTGCTTTGCTACAAAAATTACTTCCCACTTTGGCTGCTACGAACTCATTCAGATTCCTTCTGTACTTCTTTCTTATATGTGTATTTTCATTAAGTTTCTTCTTTTTAATTAATGGTTATTCATTCATTCATGAAGTTCTTGAATGCATAAATCTGAAGCTCATATTTATCAGAAATGCTCACAACTTCTACATTGCCTCATTGCCTTTTTCTCCGAACAATGTGTCTTCCTAAATCATCTAAACTAGGCACCCACCATCATCACAAAAACTTTGCTGAACTTTAATAATTTTTTTTAAACCACATTTCTAGTTCTTCTCTCCTCCCCAACCATATACTCACTCCCAGTATTTCTGTAGAACAAAATAATAATGGAAATATTGTGCTAATCTTCACATTCTGCTTCAAGATTTTTGCCTTCTTCTCCTTCCTGAACTAGAAGTTCTGGTCAGATTATAGATAAAGTAAAAGAAAAAGCAAAATTATCTTCCACTGCTTCATGCCAATGGAGTCTTTGTAGGCCTAAGAAGTTCAATATGCTTAGCAAAGATGAAGATTTTAAAAATTTTGGCTCAATTTTGTCATGTTCATACCAAGCAAGACTGGTTGCAGTCTCCTTAGGCTCACAACTTAGACAAAAGCTCATGGGGTTTTTTTGTTGGTTTCTTTGTTAGGCTTTTTTTTTTTTTAATTAATGAGTGAATGCTTTATTTTGGTTTTTTTTTCTTCTTTTATGCAAATCTGTGTCCTAACAGACTGTTTGGATTGGAAATAGCTCTGCAGGCTATATTTGATTGTGCTTCCTCTGATTTCTTGAACTGGATCGTTTACCGTTTGCGTTTTATAATACTTTGTTCTATTACCATAGAAGGAGTTTAATCACTAATTTGTGTATTTACACACCTCAAGTATTTTGCAGGCTGAAAATGTGCTCATAACTAATGTACCAATTCTTGCCCTGGGAAACTCCATATGGTCTAGGTTCTTATGCTAATTTTAGCAACAGTTTTAATGGGACAAGTGGCATTGGATTTAACTGACTAGTTTTTCCTTGTTGCAAATGGTGTGTCCCCAAAGACATTTGACGTTTGTGGTTACACTGCACCAGCATTTTGCCAGACTGAACAAGTATTAACCCAACATTCCTAGCGACCTACCACAACTCTTCTAACCACTGTTTTCAGCTGAAGATGCTGACCTACATATATCTCCTCATGTGGCTTATGTTATATAAATCAAATGAATTGTCTACTACAAATTCAGCTACAAGTATTCAATTTCAGTTTTATTACAGCTGTAATCTCACACCTGCCTTCACATGATCCAAATTGGCAAGTTTTGCAGTTGAATTTGGCAATCCTGCTAGCATGCAGCTTTGAAGTGTGATAAAGCAATTTATAAAGCACTTGTTTTATATTCAGATGTATTGCAGTTTGGTGTCCTTAAAATATGCTACAAACCTCAAAAGTCTTTAAAACATTGCAACTTACAGCTATCAAGCTGAATAAATGCTTTTGCTGTGTATCAAAATGCTGAAACTGATTTTAGCAATGTATCTACTTACAGAGGATACAATCTGAAGGATCAGTAAACCCTAAGGAATATAACATTACCCTTAACAATGTCACCAACAGATTTCCTGAACACCTGATGCAAGCATTATTTACACTATTAGAACTGGAAATATTATCCATAAAACATTTAACATCAGGCTAGAGTTTTTTATGGGTCATGTTGTAAGTTTAACAATGTCGGAAACAATTCTTTCTCAGGTACTCAAAATTTTATAGTTTCTATCCTAATCGTAAATTTAAAAACCTGACATTAGTCTCTTCACAGAATGGTAGGACTAATTATATGACTGGGAAGAAGAGAAATATACAGTCAACCACACTGCTTCATAAACACATAAATGAATAAATGTTAATAAAATGGGTAAATTCAAGGTGTGTTTTCAAAATTCGTCACCTTATATTCATCAACAGAGTCTAAAGGAAGAGATCTCTGCATTCTTCATCATGCAGAGTAGATGAATGTGATTTGGCTTTGTCATTAGCTGTCTTCTTTGAAATTAGAAATACCTGCCTCAGACCTGCTTATGCTCAGCCAGTTGTGGAGAAAGCAGTGTAACTTATTAACAGTAAGAAATTTAACAGACAAGTTCCAAGTTCTGCACCTGGGACGGAGTAGCCAAAGAGCCAGTACAGGCTACAATCTGTGTGTCTGGGAAGATGCTTTGATGAAAAGAATATGGGCTCCTGGTGGACAACAAGCCAACATGAGTCAGCAGTGCGCTGCAGCAGCATCAAACGCAAATCCCATACTGGGTTGCATCCCCAGCAGCATTACTGGCAGAAATAGATACGTGATCATCCCACCATACTCAGTGCTTGTCAGGCTGCACCTGAAGCACTGTGTCCCATCCTGGTCCCCACAATTCAAGGAAGATGCAGACAGACTGGAAAGGGCCCAAAGGAGGGTCATGAAGATGATCAAAGAACTGGAAAACCTGCTGTCTGAGGAAAGACAGAAAGAGTTAGGTCTTTCTCCCTGGAGAAAGAGAAGGCTCAGGAGGTATCTAATCACAGTATTCCAGTACTTAAAGGGCAGGTACAAAGAGGATAGATACT